AGCAAAATGGTTTTTAGAAATATCCGATCGACCATGAAAACAATATCGTCGAAATCATTGGTACGACGATAGAGTTGATCTTAGATTACTTTTACAGCTACCATCGCATACTGTTTCTTTAAAGAGAGAATGAACTTGATTCGCACAAGAATTGGAACTTTTGGTCGATGACCATTCTTTTACAATCTTGACAAAAGAAATACTTCACCATGGTAGGCCTGATCCCTCGACTCGTGCTCGATGAAGAAGAAGTTTCGAAGATAATTCACGACGCTCCCACTGATGATTGCGGTGATCCTGAGAAAAGAGAAATRAGTTTCATTGYCAATCAAAATGGCTTCGATGCGAGCAGCAACTCGGAAGGAATCTCGGATGGAACTCCATCATCCGCATTGCAACAAATATCTCTTCCTGGCTTCATAGCAGACCCGAAGAAGCTAGTCGAGAAGCTACAGCAAATCATCGTTGATCTACCAGAAAATTTACRCACTGCTCCGCACGTGATAAGACATGCGGCATTGGAACTTCCAACACATGCAAGTGAATTTGCGGCAAACATACCCTCGACGTTGGCGGAACTCCCTACAACTATCATCACKTGGACTTCAAACGGCCAAAACATGATCACGACCACTGTCAACGTCATCAAAAATCTTCCACACAAAGCAACATTCCAATGGAGGCATCTAGTTGGAATTTTGACCGTGATGATTTTTAGTCCGCTACTTGGCGAAGTCGTTATGTTTTTCCCCATGAATTCTGTCGACGATGGGCCAGACAAWAATCGGATTTTCATTTATGGTACTATGACACTCTATCAACTGTTCATGATACTCCCATGGGTAAAAACATGTAGCTATGCTATGCCTCAAGTCAAAATTCCCTTTCGCGCCAGGATGTGTGCGCTCTCATTTGGCTTGATTATTGCAAAATTAATTGACGTATCATTGACAAAAGGAATCTTTACCAACCAACCCATATTTCCGATTCCATTTTCAATTCTGGTGACGGGAACCTTGGGCACGCTTCCAGTTGTCCCAATATTCTATTGCATGACCCCAAAGACGAACCGAAAAAAGGGAAATTTCAGTCTCGTGTTTTCTCTGCTAGTCGCTTATTGGGTTGCGCTCCTCGTGGTGATCGGTTGGGCTATCGGTATTCAACGGCTACAGGGCAATTCACTCCAATACCTTGTATTGTTTTCTTATGCAGTCTTGCGATTCATTTGTAAGATCATTATATGTGCAAATGTTTCAACACGTCTGAAGTCAGAACGGCACATTCAGCTTAATCTAGTTGTTGATATTCTCTTCACAAGGGTCCAGGTTGCTACATGGCCCTTCATTGACAGTCCTTTTACTCTGATGGCGCTTTTTGCCAGTGAATCGTCTGTCATAATATGGCGCTACTATAATGGTGTCGATCGTCTTCAACTGTGGTGGAAGGCAATAGTGACTTCAGTCAGTCTGGAAGATGAGGACGACCACGACAAGAGTATCAAACTTTCCAAACGCGAAAGATTGAAAGGTATCACAGAAGCCTGTTTCACGGCTTCAAATCAATACATAATCAACATGAGCCTTAGCGAAGACAAACKAGACGTAATTCGGAGTTTGGCATCCTGTAAKACTCCATCAACACTAGAAGTGATGACGGACCTCGAATCATCTTCAACATCGTCTGACAATCGCGAGKCCGACAATGGAGCAATCGTCGAGCTTGCCAATCTTTGCAACCGTGAGAACCATGATGGAACCATAATCATCGAACAATCCTCTGCGGCGAACAATACCACCATTCTTTTTGACGACGACGACGACGATGAAGAAGACGGCTCAGGGCTGCATGGTTCAGCAAGCATCATGCGAAGGGCAAGGGAGAGCGCCGATATTTATGGTGCTCACTATACTACTGGATTAACTGCTTCTGATAACGATGGTGGCGATGATACAAGCTTTGCTGCKGACTTTGCTTGCAAAGGCGACATTAATGCTGGATCGCTGATGGAATTGGGAATCGAACGGAATGCATTTGCAGCCGTCCTTCGGCGTCATGRRGGAAATATCATTGTCGACGATGACAATGATGTCGAAGATGGCAATACTACAGATCTAACTGATGTCGAACTCGAAGATAGATCCTCATCGCCCTTGCCCTTTCCCCTCGTTGAAACAGCATCAGCAACGCTGGAAGCGAGGCCAGCAAGATGTAGAGAGACCTGGGAACAAAGAGACCTATATCATATGGTGGATTCCACAGGATCCCTCTGCATCAATATTGTTGTTCGTATGAATCAGCAGCTCCTGTTTGTTGCAGTTCGGAATCTTCCGAGCTCCCAACACCTGAATCAATCCTTCAAGATCAGTGACGAGCGTTGGAGGGAGGCACAGATTTATGGTAGTATCTATATCATCTTGATGCTTGGACTGGCAGTAGGGATCAATTTTAGTAGTGTCTTTTTCAGTAAGAAGAAAGGCTTAGAGGGAAAGAAGCTTTCTTTGGGCCGGGTACTATCCTATCTCTTCAAGGATAACTTCTGGTTCTTTTTCTTCTGGCTCATATCGACCGGAGCACTTGTGAGTTCTGCCATGGTGAACCATTTTGGTGCAGACTTTTCCATGAATTTTGAGTATCTGAACTGTCTAGAGGAAATTGAATGGCCGGGATGCCCATCCTAACCGACTAACATGCTAGCCGGTGGGAACAAACTAGACTTTCATGGGTMCAAGCAAGTTACTGAACAATTAGTCCATGATCGTGATTATCCAAACTAAAGCGACTGTTCGGGGAAGCATATCATATTCAATCGTACAAGGTTGTAACAATGGCAAGTGAACAAAAATAACTAAGGAAACTAAAACTGGTGGAAACATTTTAGGAAAGATAAACCCAACCTACACGAAACCGTAATGTGGCTGCTTCTAGATCACATCATGTTTGAAACTCAAGTTGGAACGAAGCCCGAATACAAAAGAACCTGCGAATATCTCCTTCGATGTCGACGCCAAAGAAACAGTTCCGTATCACGGTGTTTCACATCAATTTAATTGTCACCGTACTCGATGTAGTTCCCTCACGTAGTTCCTAAAAAAGGTGTAAAAGTGAAGATAAATGTAGAAAAATTGGAAGTGATAAAAATAAATAAAAATAGACATTCTAATTTACAAAGTGCGCGTGCGTGATGTACAGTTCAACCCTAAAAGACGACCAACTCTTTCTCCGCTCGTGACACCGGATTTCGGAATATGATACAGTGTTCAGGTAGGTAGGTATGCAGCGGGTCAAAAGTCGCGGACGGGAAAGGATTTGATAGATGGTGTCAATTGGTTGCTTCGCCACTACCGCTGGCAATGATTGTTCGCGGTACTTTGCTGCTCGGCCACTTGTGCCAAACGCAATGGTTGACTTCTCTCCCGATATTCTTGTTCGATCTCGTTCGTGGCATTCTGGGAGAAATAAATTCTACTGAGCAGTGATTGATTCGTTCGTTCCGTGAAAATAAGAAGCACGGTCGAGCCGAGCGGTGCGGTGTTTGCAGCTTGGTTCTTCGCTGTTCCGAAGCAAAGCATTCGTGGCGATGACTTTCTTGAAAAGAAATATTAGATTCCTTCCGTTCAATTCGAGAAAACCTCATCATTGAAAATCTTCGTCGACGGGGATGATGTCAGAGACAATTCCTTGCTTCTGTAGGCCCTCGTTGTAGACTTCCGCGACCTCAAAGGCAAACATACCGACGCTGGCAATTCCGTTTTGGTGCGCCATCATCATCGTCTGGTACGCATTCATCTCTCCCATCCCGGTAATCTGGACCAGGGCACGAGCGACGTGTTCTCTCGTGTTGTCTCCGTCGTTGTAAATGCGAACTTCCCAAGTTTCTCCACCCTCGCGGTGGCGTTGCTTCGATAGCGAGCTGCTCTTCTTCGTCGCGGGGCGTTCGAGAACAGCTGGGGCCTCGGCCAAACCAGCCGCCATTCCCATCGCAACACTGCGGCTGCTGGTTCTCGATGCGGCGAGAGGAGCCTGTGAAAAGTGAAACGCAAGAGTTTGGGTGCAAACGGCGAAGAAGAACAGGGAAAGAAGAGAAAGGACTTTCATGGTGGAAATCATTTTTCGGTGTAGTGCTTTGGTGTGTCTGTGACGGGGTGAGTTGTTCGTGAGTTTGTACGAGTACTATCAATCAATAGATCAGTCTGCCAGATTCTGTGTGAATCGAATGTTGTGGTGGTAACCAGATAGGACGACTTTGTGGAGGGAGGTTAGGACCAAGAAGCAACGAAACGGAAGCTTACACAAAGAAAACGTGGTGATGTATGCGTACGATGCAAACGAACGAATTGAGCGTGGAACTACTACCGGAAGAAACTTTCACWGGTGGAAACCGCGAAGAAACAATTATTTTTTTACCGTATGTAAATAAGGCGGGATACGACGGAAATCAATACCACAATTTTTTTGCTACGCAGGATTGAATTAACTGAGAGAGCTTTTGGGGTGAAATGATTGTATTTTCAGCAGGTTTTTTCAGAAAGTGAGAACATGGCAAAAAACTTTCCCCTCGAAAAAAATTGATCAAAAAATTGAATTTCCTTGGCGATCCTTTTTGGGAGTGTCGTTTTTTTTGGCGCCAAACCACGTGATGGTTACATAAAGGAGACACTTGAGAATCGCCGTAAGTAATCTAAATCTCGCCGAAAGAAGCTCTTTCAGCCTCTAGGAGGAGTATCAAACAATTTACACAATATCGCCAAATTAACGAAAAAAGGGACAGCCAATAATTTGAGAGTTACCCTGAAATACAAGCACTCGTACCGAAATGAAGATATTTTCATTTCTCCAAACTTCAACAACAGATTTAGTCAGCGAATGAAAATTCAATCTTTTGGAGCGTTGATCCATTCGTCCTTGACTGGATTTGCATGGTTGCTATTGGCAGACGAATTATGAATTCAACTGAACCATCAGTGTCTTCTCCTTATATAAAGCATTATTTGGCACAMAATTCTCCACAAAGTCCCGTAAACAATTAAAATGAAGAACGTTCTATGGAACATGTCTCATTCGGCTCATAGAACAACATGATGACATCATCATTAAGTGTCATGGACGTCTGTCAAACAGATTGCATCCACCCAATTACTGTAGGAAAGTACGGTACATACCTTTTACTACTACTATKYTATAACACGGCGTTTATATAACGTACTCTTATTGATCATACAAACAAACTGTAAGTACGATCCATATTATTTCGAATTACAAATTCGACCGTTTGATKAGACATATCACACATATCACTAGAGTGTCGAATCGATGAACAGTGCTTCACCGTGCCGATAGAGGAAAAACTACCAGTACCCTAAAAATGATAGTAGAGATGTAATTTATTTCCAAAGAAAAATTAAAGAAGAAATTGTTGCTTATGCAAGGGTGTCGGCAACGAACTTCTTGATGGCTTCGGGGCTGCGGTCTTCGGATTCGTACTTGACAACGGATCCATCAGCCTTGACAACATTGACAGTAGGGAAGGATTCGGTGTTGAGGTTGGCAGAAACGAATTCACGGTCTTCGTCACCACGGAATTTGTAAACAGGAATGTCGGAACCTTCGGCGAAAGTGGAGAAATCTTCCTCCATCTTTTGGCAGAATTGGCACCAAGGAGCGTAGACGGCAATAACGGATGCCTCTCCAGCTTTGGTGATTTCAAGGGCGGCGTCGTTGGATTCGATAGACTTGACGGCACCTTCTTCCCAAAGATCACGGTCCCAGGTCTTTTCAGCTCCTCCAACGTGGATTCCTGTAGAATTGAATTTTTGTATTTAGAGCAAACGGAATAAAAGAAAACATGAATCGGTTGACAGTTAGCAAAAGTCATTCGAAATGAAAAAAAAAACAGCCAAGCAAACGACTGCGGTAAATATTTCGCACGTACCGCATTCGGTCTTGGTGGATCCATCGGCGTTGGCAAGTCCAACAAATCGTCCCTTACGCTCGGAGGCGTAGTCGAGCCATTGGGTCTTGTCTCCTTCGAACTTGAAGTCCTTGAAAATTACAGATCCATCTTCTGGGATGGGGATGGTATCCTTGGCATCACCAATGGATGGGTATCCGCTGGCATGGAGAGGGTGGTGGGGGACTTCGTACTTGGCGATGTAGTCGAAGCAATCTTCGAGAGTCCAGTAGGCCAAAGGATTGCACTTGGCAAGTCCTCCTCCGATAGGGGCGTTCTCGAAAAGATCGATCCAGGCACGTTCAAATCCCTGCCATCTGGTACGTCCGTTGATCATGCAGTCGGTGTTCAGGGTCTTGAGTCCACGCTGGAAGGGTTCGACCTTGCAGACACGGTCATACTCTTCGATGTTCTCCTTCCACAAATCAGCACCGTATCGCTTGTCGTAGGCGTCCTTGTCTCCAACAGGGATTCCCTCGGCGCAGAAAACCTCGGCCTTGAATCCGTAGAATTCTTCGATTTCCTTCAGGAATTCCATGGTTTCGGGGAACAAGTGGAAGGTGTCAACGCACATGATGGTGCACTTGCTGCTGTCCTTAAGGTATCCCATGCGGTGGAGCAAGTGGGTGATGACGACATCACCGGCAATCATAGCATTGGGGAAGACGGCGTTACCGTAGTTCTCGCAGGAAATTTTGAGGGCGTACATGGCCTGTTCTTCCAAGTGCTTCAAACGCATTTCCTTGGATTCGGCAATGAATTGTTCCTGGTCGAACTGTTCGGCGGCGACGGGGACAACGCTCTTTCGGACAGCAGCGGGCCGGGTAGCCGGGGCGAATGCCGTGGCGAAGTTGGCGCAGTAGAGGGCGCTGGCGGTGAAAAGAGCAAACTTCATGGTGTCGTATTTTTTTGTTTTAAATTCAACAATAAAAATGATGACAAAAGGTCGGAAATAGAATATCCTTTATCGGAGGCAAAGCACTCCTGTTCCCGATTCTCGTCTTAGGTGGTGTATTTTCGTCCAAAAGACACAACACACATGCTGGAAGGACGGATCAAAAGATTCTGCGGCTGTGAATTGAAGATTTCGTGCATACGAAAGTCATTCGAGTTCTCCTGCCAAAGTTGAACGTTCGCCTTAGTAGTCCTGATACATGTACGCTACGTC